AAGGAAGGAAGGAAGGAAGGAAGGAAGGAAGGAAGGAAGGAAGGAAGGAAGGAAGAATAGAATGAAGCAAAGAAAAACTGAAAGAAGATTGAAGCAGAAAGAAGGCAGGGTAGGAGGACAGATGCCTTGAATTATGGAAACACGCAATGAACGTACGGGCGAATGAAATAAGGATTGAGGGAAGTTATGATAGTAGAGACGAAGGAATTATGCATTGTTTGTCAGGGCGTCTTGGAATTTTGTATATTTTTCGCTGTATTTACCAATTAATCTTAGGTTTCTAAATCGTTTACATTATCTTGTATCATTCTACTTCGTTTTGTTGGATTCTATCTGTCGAAGACATTCGTATACTGGCCTAAGCGCATTCCCATGAAGAATGCATTTCTTTGTGTCCCGTGTACTTGTAGCCATCTCTCCTCTTCTTCTTTTAACACAACGATTATGACTTGAAGGATATTCAACTATGCCTGTGATTCTACAGAGAAAGGCCCTCCCTTCACACTTGAGCATACGCGGCTGGGACGACAAATATGTGTCTGAGAAATTGCGTTTGCTTTCTTGATAAGTGCACGTATAAATGAGGCATTGACGATACTTTCTGTTGAGACTAGGGATGACATGATACTGTCTATCCTACGGACAAAGTGAATCTGGTAGTCTCGAAAACCTACGAATTTACGTAAAAGGTAATCTCGTCGATTGCTATAGCAAATGTAACTCTCCTTTACTGACAATCCCAACACAGAATATGATATGAAAAATGCTGACATTTCTTGAAATTCACATCTTCCCTGTGATCCAATGGCATTCGTGACAATGTGGCATTTTGGATAACGTGACGCTGCACTGTCATGGTTCGAGTCTCGCTTGGGGTGTTGATAAGACCTGGATGAGACCACCTTTTGGGAAATCAAGGTTATGCTAAATTCAATGGAAAGCCTCAGCTCTGCTCATATCATTGTGGGAAAAATCAACCACCAGTCCTTCATCAACTTAAAACGAAATAGGATAAACACAACTTATATAAACCGAATATGCCCGGTCCTGGGAAATGAGTCTGCAAAATATGGCTTTGGTGAAGCAGATGAGTTTTAGTATGAATCTAAGATGTGAAATGCGTTTTCATGTGATTTTAAATGTTAAAATGTCTGTATGTGAGTGTGAATGGCAGAATGTGTAAATGTGAGCTTCAGTGGGCATTTTACGGCAAGCTTGTATTTGAATGTGTGCATGTGTGTGTGCGTGTGCGTAGGTGTGGGTGTGAGGGATAGGCTAAGAGTTAAGTGGGAAATCGAATGTTTAGAGATGAAGGAGATAAAACCCATTTGCGGAAAGGGCATTGTTTAAGGGCTGATGTGACTTGCCTGGATCTTAGATCCCCGATCAAGCGAAGGTAGGAAAGCGGTTCAGATCAGTTGCAAACTTTGCTACACAAGCTCCAGAATGTACTAAAGCCAAAAATAGACGCGACACATCGGTTCGTGCCTGTATGCATCCTGGGCCAGGCAGGGTGAACCCGTTGAGGACTCTTCACATCCGGCTCGTCTGTATGTGTGTGAATGTGTGTGCTTATATTTGTGTATCTGTCCGCGTGCCTCGGCAGGCTGCCTTAGGCCACTGCTTAGACATATACTCTTGATCGCCTAGCCCTGTTTGTATACTGAAAAGATAGTCTTGCTTGCCATAGATACGTCTACTTGGCAGTTAGTTTGCCGCTTCTGCGGAGATAGAAGAGGAATTTGTCTCGTTTGGATGATTAGATCAGGTTGGCTCCCAGCCATCGAATGAGAGGAGGAGAGGGGAAGACCGGCTAAGAGAGTCAAAGAGATCCGAGATCCAAGCCTCGCCATAAGTGGCCAACGGTACCGAAAGGGTTTAGCTCCACCAGCCCAAGTTCACGGTGGATCAATGCACCAAAGATGCAGTACCTCATGTAGACATGACGCTGGCAGAAACATAAATAACCTGTTTGATTTGGTACTCTGGCCAATTCAGACACGGTAACCTGAGACACAATCGGTGTCTGCTGCAAGCGAACACAAGGTACCAACTGGAAAGCAAGAGTGCTAATCACGTCACGAGTTGTGCATAACAAGTGTAAGGGGGTTTCGCACAACCTGCTGAGATTACATTGTTGGTGGGATTTCATTTGGTGGTAGAGGGTTCCAGGTGAAGTTTGGGTTGAAGTTGTCCACAAGACATCCTCTTTCGGTTCCAGCTAAAGTGCACAGCGATTTCTTCCAGTTGATAGACTTCATACCATCAGGAGCTCATTCTGACCAAAACTTCAGGAAAAAGGCAGACCAACGATATTGTCACAGCAATAAAAAAATGAAAAACAACTGATAAAAATGGAATCTAAATGATGTGTTTTTCAATTCCCATTTATTGCTGTAATCAAATATGACATGTGGGAGAGGCCAGTCAGTCTTTACGTTCGAGTTTTTTTCACGAACGAGCTTCCGATCGTTGGTGTCTGGGCATCCGTCAAGTGTCACGACGGAGAAAAGTTGAGCCAATTTCCACGGGAACCGAAAGAGGACGTCTTGTGGGCATGTTCAACCTTAACGTCATAGAAACTCCTAACAACTGCAGACAAACAGGAATCTGATGTCGTCTTTTGGTCAGATTGATTTGCGAACCTCTTCATCATCTTTATTCAAGGCCTGTCCAATAAGTCGCTAAAGGTCTTGCGGAAGCAGAGTGAAGCCTTCGTCTGTCGGCAAGTTGATACATTCGGAGCAGGAATCAAAGCTAGCTCTTACTTGACGTGAAGTGAATGTAAAAGAAGTTGCTTTCGGCATGAATGATTTTTAGAATGAATTCCGAATCAGTAAAACCGAATTGGATAGAATGGTATCTTTTTAGTTCTATTCCCAGCTGTGTGAATGTTTGAGCATATGATCACCATAGCAGTGGTTGAGATACAGTCGTTGGTATGGGTACAGGCCAACTGAGCTTCGAAAGAGTGCCTACATTCGCTCGGTATCCGCCCCTAATTTCGCCGGAAACAGTGGTGATTTGGACTCATCTGACACCGAAGAAAGTCCGCTTCGGCGTAGTCGGTGCTTCGAAGACGTTTACGTCCAACTCTACAGTCTCAGCTCTGAGGCGAAATGTCTTTGGTTGTCAGGGCAACCAGATGCTTGGGCCGAAATTCGTATGGAACTTCTGTTGGTATGAAGAGGAGAAGAGGTGAAGGCTGTCTTCGACTCAAATGACAGCAGATTGCTTTCCATTTCACTGGAAAGGTTGGTTGAAAGGAATTTGTGAATTGGTCTCATCGTAAATGAAAGAAACTAAGAAGAGACTAATTAGGGTTGCAGCCTGTCGCCTTTTCTTTTGGTTTAGTATGTTGGTACGCCACTCCGTGCTGAGGACTTTTATGCGTAATCCCTAACTCTTTACTCTGCAGCAACCCTCCTTCGGTTTCCGATGGGACCATTTTCCGAATTCCTCCCAACCAAAGGGAAAGTAATGTCACAATTAATTAAAAGTAATTCCTTCCAAACACACTTTTCCTTCCCATCTTTGACAGCAGATTGAGCCATGTCGGGTTTTTAGTTCTCAGGTGTACTATTTTCGATGTGATTACTTTTCGAGACTCGCAATAAAGATTTAATAAAAACGTAATGCTTTAAGCGTAGAGATTTTAGTCGCAGTTTCCTTTCGGTGCATATAGATGGGCTGAACTCGTTTTCGCAACCTGGTCGTGTTGTCAGGGCAACCTAATTGGGTTGAAATTGTCCAAAATCCAAGACATGCTAATTCCCAGACGTTTCACAATCATCCTCAATGAGAGGCGCTATCCTCTCAACAGAGTTACAACTAACCA